TGATTGGCTTGATCTGTTTGGGAGGCATCTAGGCAATGGTACCAGGTCCTGGGCTTGCTGCATGAGGTAGCTGTTTGAAACCTGGGACTTATACAGGGACGCTTGGCTCAGTCTGGGAGGAGGGGACTGGACCTGCCTGGACTGAGTCTATCAGGTCGATCTCAGTCCTCAGGGGTGGCCTTGATCTGGAGGAAGTGGGAATGGGTGGTGGGCTGGGGGGAAGGGGAGGAGGGCAGGAAGGGGGATAACAAGGGAATCTGTGGTTGTTATGTAGAACTGAATAGTATTGTAAAATAAAATAAAATAAAATAAAATAAAAAAGATGTGAATGAGATAAAAAAGATATGTTTGTATATCATTATTTTTATACCTTCATTAAAGTATAACTGACATACAATAAATTGAACAAATTTTAAGTACACAATTTTATCCTTTGGCAGTTGCATCCAGCTTTGAACATATTGCCATGATCAATAGAGTGATTATATCCACAAATCTCTAAAGTTTTCCTATGGCCATTACTATAAATTCTGTCTGTACATCCCTGCCCAAACAGATCCGTTGTCAGTATAGCTCAAGTTTGTGTCTTCTAGAATTTTATAACAATGAAATAGCAATGTGTATGTATTGTTTGTGTTAATTTTTACCTCGATATAAATATTTAAAGGTGCATCAATTTTTATTGATATCATTTTTTTCTTAAAATTGTTAACTTTTAAAATTAGCCAAACACAAAACAATTCTTATTTTTTCTCGATGAATATTATTGTATGAATGTAGCACAGCTTGTTTACTATTCCCTTATGAATGGGTCATTTTTCAAAAGAGATTCATTTAAATATCAATGACAGAACAAAGAGCTAACCGACTAAAAAGTAAAATTAAGTACTTTTTAGTATATCATAAAATTGTGCAACTGTAATTGCATGCATGAATTCCCTTATCAAAATCAGTAAGTCCATTATCTGGAAAACACAGGATTGTTTCATATAAGACAGTGTGACAATCCATCAATGTAATATGTATATTAATATAATCATCTCCAAATACTCCTCACACCTATTAAGAGTTACCTTCTGTTATCTCCATCTTTAAGCTCCTAGCAAAAAGTAATTTACTTCAGTATCTGCAGATTTTACTCTTCTGTACATTTATTTAAAAAAATAACTTGTGCAATATTTGGTCTTTTGTGTTTTGATTCCTTACCTTAAAATGGTATTTATAGGGTTCTTTATGATGTAACATATGTTCATGTATATGAGGATGTATGTTTTTTGTATGTGCATATGGAGGCCAGATGTCAACCTTGGATGTCATTCTTCAGGCATTATCTACCTTAATGTTTTTGTGACAGGTTCTCTCAATGACCTGAAGTTTGCTGAATAGACAAAGCTGACTGGCATTCAAAGCCTGTCTACCCTGCACTAGGCTCACAAGTGCATACCACTATAGCTGGCTTTTCATGTGGATCATGGGAATTGAAAACAGATTAAAATCTTTCAGCATTATGGTAACTATGCATGTTTTGCACATAGTCTTTATAGGTTGAGGGAATCTCTTCTACTACTTGCTTTAGGCTGTTTTGTCATGAGGAGTTGCTAGCTTTTGTCAAATGCCTTCTCTTTTCTATTCTCCTGGTTGAAGGTATTTGTTATGCTAATATACCATAGTATATTAATGGATTGTCATATATGAAACAATTTTGCATTCTCCAAAGTGTGAACTTATTTATTTTCATATCTTGCTGGATGCCTTATATAGTATTTTGTTAAGGGTTTCTGCTTGGCTATTCTTGCTGGTTAAGTTTCACTTTCTTGTTTTATTTTGGGTTTTGGAATCAGGTTACGTTCCTGCTGCTAATATATTTTGGAAAAGCTTGTGAAGGACTGTTGTTACTTTTACTTAAAAGGTTGTAAAGAATTCTTCAGTGAAGCCATATTAACTTGGAAATTTCTTTGTTAGTAGATTTTTCATGACTCACTTAAGCTTTTACTTATTAAAGGATTATTCATGTTTTAATTTTTCTTTTTTTAAAAACAATTTATATTGACATTTTGGGGAGTTTTACAACATGTATCCCAATTCCACCCCTTTCCAAATCCCTCCATATCTTCCCTTCACCCTTGCAGTGTCACCCCCTCCAAAATAAATTTAAAAAATATTATTGAAAAAAACCACCCACTTCACTCCTCCATTTTTCCCACCTCTCCATCATGTATGTCTTCATTTGTCTTAGTGGCATTGGGAGCTGTGGTGTGTCATGCAGTATAACCTTTTTTTTAATTGCAAATGCTTATTGTAATGAGTTGTTCTGTTTCAAGGTCTCTGGCTTCTGCTATACCATCAGTACTGGACCCTCTCTGAAACTTCTCTTGTATGTCTTGTTGTTGTCCCAGTCATGGAGATCCTGCAGCTCTGCTTCCACAGGACCAGACCCTTCATGAGCTCCAGCAGATCATAGATAGGGTAGATGTTGCAGTGGGCCAATGCAGTGCCCAGGAGTGTGGGCCTGAGTGGTAGCTGAGTTGGTCAGTATGGGCCTTGCTGGGATCAGTCCCCTTAGGAGAGGGGCAGAGTCAGGTCCCCTGTACTAATACCATCAGGGTCAGCTCTCCTGTCTCCATGATGAAGGGTGGGGCTGTAGGGAGCCACCATTCTAAGATGGCGCTGGCTTCCTGGTAGCCTAGCTGTAAACAACTCCATATTTGGCTATAATGCTCGAGTATGGTAATTGGCCTTATGTCCTCAGCCTATCCCGTGGCTCCCCGTGCTAGCATTCTGGTGGGACCCAATCACAGTACGGCACGTTTGCCTGATTCCCTTTATAATCAGTTGCAGTTTAGTTCTCGGGGCCCCTCACCTCCCACTCTCCCTTAATCAAGAGGCGCTCCAATAAAGTGTGATCTGAGAAGAATCCTCGCGTGGTGGTCGTTCTTCCTTGCTGGTCGAGGAGCGCGCCGCAACTGGTGCCGAAACCCGGGAAGGAAACTTCGGACACCAGGTGAGGGGTCGAAGAGGATTCAGAAGTCAACACACGGAGTGGTGACGTTGGAAAGTTCTCCAGGAACGGTGACGCCGGTAAGTTTGCCAGGAACGGTGATGACGTCGGTAAATTCTCCAGGTATGCTGATTGCTGGGATTAATCCGTTTGTGTTTGCTCTTGTGTTCATTCTTATGACAATTGTTGTTCTTCTTTGCTGTTTTTTACATGCATGTCTTAAGGAAGGACACAATGTGGAAATCATTAGAAAGGGACGCAAGGCATTAATTAAGCACCAGGATAGTCTATCAGAATCAGACTTTAAAGGGGAGAACTTAAGTAGGCCTAAAAAGAAGAAAGAAAAGAGTAAAGAAAAGGAAAATAAAGAAAATAAGCCAGAAAAGGAAGGAAATTCAGAGAAGAAAGGGAACCCTTTTTATCTAGTATTAGAGGAATTTGCAAAACTTGATTTATCTGATAATGAATTAGATTCAGATGAGGAGGAAAATTTAGAGAAAGCTGCAGCTGAATATGAGGAAGAGAGATATGGGTGGCAGCGGCCTCCTCCTTATAATGTTTCTGCTGGGGTGAATGTGGAACCAACGGCGCCTTCGGGACCACATCCACCCCCGGCACCACTTTCGTATCTACAAACAGGTGGAGGTTGTCATTTTATCAGGAGGGACACCTGGGCGCGGCTAGCATCCGCGTTTCCAGTTTTTGAAGATCCGCAATCAAACAACAGGTATCATGAACCTGTGCCTTATAAATAATTAAAAGACCTGGTAGAGGCTGCTCGAGCTTACGGAGTAACAGCCAGTTAGTGTGCAGTTTCAGAATGGTTCCCGAGCAGCGAATTTGTCTAAACAATTGTCTAGTTATCTTATAGGAAATTGGTCCGGAGAATTTGAAGAGACCTTGGAGAAACTGAGAGTGGTGGTGGTGACCATTGACTCCACAAGAGTGGATCTCAGCCTGGCAGAGGGACTGTCTTCCTGGATCGCTTCTGCCTTCTCCCTGTTTAAAGAATGGGTGGGGGTGGATATATTTTTGGCATGCTGCCTTGGAGGATGCGTGTTTTGTCTGTGGTTGGTCTGCCGTTTGCAAGCACGTACTAAAAAAGGACAAGGTCATTATCACTCAAGCATTAGCCGCTTTGGAGTGTGGCTCCTCCCTTCAGATCTGGCTTTACCTAATATCCACACAGCCTTTGCACCCCCAGGACTGGTTAGTCCATTGCACTCGGGAAGGTGTGTGGACAATTGTTGCACGCATAGCCTTTGCACCCCTGGAACTGGTTAGTCCATTGCACTCGGGAAGGTATGTGGACAGCTTTCACATACTTGTATTGAGCACAGGATGCCAGGCTCGTGCACTGCACTTGAAGTGTAGGACATTTTCCTTCCTTCAAGGAGAGCAAGTCTGATTGCATATGGAGTCACATAGCCTTTGCACCCTTAGGACTGGTTAGTCCATTGCACTTGGGAAGGTATGTGGACAATTGTTACATGTATAGCCTTTGCACCCCAGGGACTGGTTGGTCCATTGCACTCGGGAAGGTATGCAGGCAATTATGCACAGTTAACTCATCCTCGATCGGTCAACACATCATGAGGTGGGGACCTGATTGGATGAAATACTTGTGTTGCAGAAATCAGACCTATACTCTCTCCTGCTGCTTAATTAATAAAGAGGGGGGAGATGTAGGGAGCCACCATTCTAAGATGGCGCTGGCTTCCTGGTAGCCTAGCTGTAAACAACTCCATATTTGGCTATGATGC